GTTTATAACGGCACAAGCCGAGGAGAGGGCTGGTTTGAAATTCTAAAAGAAGCTCGGCCAATCACGTATCCCCACGGTGTAGGGGAGAACCTGCCTAACCTAGTCGATGAGACGTGCTGCCAAATGAGGAGGACGACTGGTGGCTGCAGGAGAAGAAGCATTATTAAGTACTTGAAAGGAAAAAAGCTAAAAATGCGAACACTTGCGTGTATGGTTCCAGGCCTCGGGGAAACCATCAGTATTGGACGTAATGGCCTCATTCTTGATGAAGAAGTAGTCAATCCAGAACTGCCGACTACCCTTATCATCCATCTTCACCACCAAATATTTGCCTCCACGATGTCGAAGATTCAACATTGTCTCTACGTAGAAGCTAGGCGTGAACAGATGCACCAATTGCCGCACCGTGACTCGACCCTGGCAAGCTCAACAAACTTTGATAGCATCTTGATGACCTTGTAAACATAAGGGGTGAGCTGAGCGGGGAAAATGCCATAATAGCGGCAAAACTCCTCCACCAGCGGAAGAAGAGGGAACGAGTAGATAATGGTAAACGGGTAGGCATAGAGAGCACAATACCCAGGACGGTGAACATGCACCTCGCCCCCCACCTACGGGGATCAATTCTACATGGTAGGGAAGGCCAAACTTGGCTTTGAATTCAGCCAACTGTCTAGATGCCATCGACGATTGAAATTTTTCGGGCATCGCATCCGGCAACTGTTGAAAGTCAGATCTAGAATCGGGGTTACGAGGAATAATCTCCTCCAGTGAAGGAAGAGCTTCATCCTCAGCAGCGACGACAACGTCCTCCCCGTGAGCAAGGAACACAACAGCCAAAGGAATGGCGTGGATCTCTTCATCAATATTAGAAGGAAGATTAGACATGGTTATGAAGTTTACAAGAAGATGAGAGTATGAAAGAAAATTAAGGTTCAGAAGGCAAAGAATAAGACCTTATAGAGAATATTCTCGGGAATATTCCTCCCATCTGTACCATTAAGGTTTTTGTGGTCCATGTGCCTTTATAAATAGAAAGAGAAAGAATTATAGAATGGATTAGACACTCCTTGTAAAAAAATAATACATTGAGATTCTTACTTTATCATTAACATGCCAAACACATCTTTTCTTTAGATCTGTGTCCATCTTATCTCCCGCGATCTAAGGAGGATCTGAATATTCTAAGGCTTATCATCATCCATATTTGTCAGAGAGAATATCAAAGAATCTTACCTTTTCGGGTGACTCACTTGTATTTATTTACATAAATGCTACACGTTATCATTTATTGCTATTTAATGCTACAAAATCAGTCAAACAATCTCTTGGATATTAATATTGGCTAAGATTAACTCTATTCTATTAGAAAATCTAATTGTTTAAATCAAAATCTAAATTTTGGGTCAAACGGTAACTATATATCGTGCACAATAGACAATGCCTTCTTTCGTTTCGGAAAAAAAAAATCTATCTATAATTAAAAGTAGAAGAAAAAGCAATCTCATTAAGCCAAGTGGCATTGCTAAGACAAAATAAACTACCTTTCTAACTAAAACATATTTTGAATTTTAAATTTTGAATTAATAGGTTATTGTATTTGAATTAATAAATATAAATATCTTATAATTATCTATAATAAAAAATAAAAATATAAAGATACTATTGTGATATAATATTAAAGATAAGCATATTATATATATAACACAAATTAATAATTATTAAAATATTGGTAGGTTTTTTATAAAAATAATAAAATACTTATCTCTTTATAGTTTGATGAATTCAAAATTATAATCTATCTATAATTAAAAGTAGAAGAAAAATAAATCTCATTAAGCCAAGTGGCATAACTACAAAAAGCCCAGTGGCATTGTTAAGACAAATAAACTACCTTTCTAACTAAAAAATATTTTAAATTTTATATTTTGAATTAATTGGTTACTCTATTTGAATTAATAAATTTAAATATCTTATAATAGCTGTTCGGAACCCACAAACTATATCTATAATAAAAATATAAAATATATAATTGAAAAAAACTACCCATTCAAATTATGGAGTACTTTCAAGTTGAAGTTATAAAATTATTTTAGAATAAAATAATTAAAAAATCTAAAAATTCAAATTGAATGGATAGTAGTTTCTTCCTAATATCTATCTATAATTAAAAGTAGAAGAAAAACAATCTCATTAAGCCAAGTGACATAACTATAAAAAATCAAGTGGCATTGTTAAGACAAAATAAACTACCTTTCTAACTAAATAATATTTTAAATTTTAAATTTTGAATTAATTGGTTACTCTATTTGAATTAATAAATATAAATATCTTATAATTATCTATAAAAAATAAACAAAAATATAAAGATACTATTATGATATTATATATAAGATAATCATATATATATATATATAACACAAATTAATAATTATTAAAATATTGGTAGGTTTTTTATAAAAATAATAAAATTCTTATCTCTTTATAGTTTTGATGAATTAAAAATTATAATTTAGTAAAATAATATTACATTATTTAAATTTTCAGTAAACTACAAAATGAGAAAACTAATCAAATATTATAGTACAAAAGAATATATGAAAAAAGGGGGATAAGGATAATTTTATGATATTTATATTTTGAATAGATTAAAAAATAAAAGATAAATAAATAACACTCAAAAAAATTATCAATAAATTTAGATAATTGAAGAATTTTGTACAGTATAACATAAGTTTAAAAAAATAATTTTATTTCAAGAGTAAGAAAATATATATCTATGTTATATTAAAAGAGAGTAGTATCAAAATATTAAGCCAATTGACAAGTTAATAAAAACTCACATTAATAAATGTATAGTATTAACTACTTGCTAATTTGACAATAAGAATAAATAAGGAACAAACAATTTATTTATTACTATATGATGTGTATCCTTTGAGTTTGTTTAGATTTTGTTATATTTCTGCCCACTATATTAAATAATAAAATATAACTAATATTTATTAAAATAATATGATATATTAGATCATAATTTTATAAAATTAATATTTTATCAAATTATTCACGAATCGTGCGGGTACTAACACTAGTTTATATTAGAACAGATGCCACTAAGAAAGATAGAACCGAAAAATAAAAAAGATTTCAAGGGTGAATGATGAGCGGAAGAAATGGGGGAACGAGTCGGAGGATTGTTCATTAAGTGGTAATTGGTAATTCACTCTTAAAACTGTTGCCTGGACACATATTTTATCCGTTTCATTTTTGTGTGATATTCATACTATTTCTAATCTATCCAAAAAAACTGATACCTTATATATTTTAAAAACTCTTTAATTCTAATATTTTTATTTTATTATTAATGGCATTCTCTTTTAAAAATAAGACCAGTCGAGAAATCTCACGCTCAAAAGATGAGATAGCAGAAATGAGATGCTGAATGAATGTGTGAACATAATAGGAGAGATATGATTAGAAATAAAAATATTCGAGATAAGGTGGGAGTGGCCTCCGATCCGTGGTAGACAAGATGAGGAAAGCAAGGCTGAAATATATTAATGGTTTGGGCATGTGAAGAGGAGATGCACAGATGCCCCGCTGAGGAGGTGTGAGAGGTTGGCAATGGTGGGTCTAAGGAGAAGTAGAGGTAGGCTGAAAAAATATTGTAAGAGATGATTAGACAGGACATGACACATCTTCAATTTATCGATGACATGAACCTAGATAGAAGGATATGGAGGTCGAGGATTCGGCTAAAAGGTTAGCAGATAGTCGAGTTTGGAACATTATATCTGTTCCTTATTTGCCATATCAATATTATTATTATTATTATTATTATTATCATCATCATTCTCGTATTACCTTATTCTTCGATTTCTATTACTATATGTTATTTTCTTTGTTTCGGTTATCTTATTGCTTTGTTATTTTACTGTTCGTACTATTCTTGTCTTCATTATTTTCAACATGACTTCTTCACTATTGTTTTTCTTTTTCAAACTGCTTTTTGATGCTTTTCGTAAGCCAAGGTCTATCAGAAACAACGACTATACCTCCATAAGGTAGGGGTAAGCTCGAGATTTTTATAATATCTTGTGTAACTCCATATAATAGAAGAAAAAGAAAAGGGTAAAACATAAAATTTGTTTATCGCCCAAAATTATTTGCATTCGATGACTAAAAATATATATTTCGGAAGAAAAAAGAAATGAGTTGGAGGCCATATTAACGACTGCAAGTAGAAAGCAGCGGCCGCCTAGGGGGGATAGTAGGGTCATTTCGACGCGGAATGGCCCTTAGCTTAAGGCACCGTCATCGTAAGCGCACACACTTCCATTATGGAATGTCTCTCCACTTTTGTTTCAAACATCCACAACCTTTGATTTTCCACAAAGCAACCCTTTTTCAACTTAATTTGGCATCTTCCCATAAGCATATCCCCTTCACTTTGATTAATTACATTACAACAACCAAAAGGATAGACATTAGACTCCACTTAGGTTAAAAGTTGCTTAACGGCTTAAATATCTCACCCAACTCACTCATTTGACCCAAGTAAAACAATACACCATCCACCTGGTTTAGTGCAGTTATATTTGACCAAATACAAAGTTTAAGATATTAAAATTAATTTATCCAATGTTAGTGAACTGAAACAGAATATCAACACAATATTGATAAGTTAGTTACTAAAGGAAAATATCACATCATAATTTAAAATTTTAATAATTATAGTGTAATTGAATTCTTAAAAGTGATGAAAATTTCACAAATATAAGATGATGTTAGACCTGAATATTATATCATATTAGTAATATTAAAAAATATTAGAATAATTTTAAAAAGTCAGCTTTATTGAGAAATAAAAATGTTAGGCGTTTTGAAATACGTGAAAAAGAAAATTGTGTTATATAAATTGTGAGAGAGGAAGAAATAATGAAAGCTGCTCTTGAAATTAGAAGCCAGTAATATTAATTTACCGATATTAAATTTGAGTTCTTTATTGTAGTGCTATATTGTGCATGAATGTGAACTAGTTTTGTACAGATACGGTAGCTGTCGTGTTCTTGAGATAATCGTCCTTCTCTCCCCCTCAAATTCCCCTTATTGTCCTCCTCCTCTGTTTCTTTCTTTTTTTAATATTTAATATACTCAAACATCTATTTTAAAATATCGCTTTCATTTTACGCTTACCAAACTATTAATCACAGATGTTAACGAGCTATGTGGGTTTCCTAAAATCTTGGTAAATTTTGATTGCGTGAAGGGCATGTTTGGCTCCTGAGAAAATTATAAGCAACTCGTTTCTTGGGTCGAGCATGATCCTTCTGTAATTCTCAGAATTTATGATACTTTCGGTTTACTTCTTTGGGAATGCTGATGCGGATGCTTTTACACAGCTAAAGTTGAATAAAGTTGCTCTGAAATTGGTGCAAGATTGAAGGTAAAGAAAAGCGCAAATATCTGAATTTAATAATCTCAGCAAAAAGAACATCGGATCAGAAGAAGATCGAATTGCCACAAAACAAAGTATATATTCTACTACCCTTTTCCCTCTATTTTTGCTTACTACTACTGCTCTTATTCTTTGCTTTCTGAGCTATTGATCCATAACATGTTGCTTTATTCAAGTTGTTGTGTGGTGGTATATAGATGGAGTTAAATATATAAATTGTAATGGTTGCTAGATATTGAAAGATTGAATCTTTTTTACACTGTTCTGAATATGCAAAATAACAGAGAAATGGCAACTCAAGTGGAGCCTCCAAATGGAATTAGGCCTCGAGGGAAACACTATTACACAATGTGGCAAACTGTGTTTGAAGTTGACACAAAATACATTCCAATAAAACCTATTGGAAGAGGAGCTTATGGTGTGGTTTGTTCCTCAGTAAATAGGGAGACTAATGAGAGAGTTGCAATCAAGAAGATCAATAACGTGTTTTCGAATAGAATTGATGCGCTGAGAACACTAAGAGAATTGAAGCTTCTGCGGCATATAAGGCATGAGAATGTGATTGCTTTGAAGGATGTGATGATGCCCATTCATAGAAGCAGTTTCAAGGATATTTATTTGGTTTATGAGTTGATGGATACGGATCTTAATCATATTATTAAGTCGTCGCAGCCTTTATCAAATGACCATTGCAAGTATTTTCTTTTTCAGGTATTGCCTTAGCTTGTGAACTCATTTCTGTTTGTTGTCATTATTGTCTTTTATTCCACATTAATAACTTAGTATATACTTTTCTAGTTCTCCCTTTTATGGTAAGTTCTTGAGCACTTGATTGAATTTTTATCTTTTTGAAGTTTAGTTGTTGGCTGCATTCCGAATTCTCAATTTTATCTGATAGGAGTGATATCTAGAGGGGGAAATGAAGAGGGTAAGAGAGGAATGAAAGAAAAAGAAATTAACCTTCCTTAGCAAGAAGTTTTTATTTTTATTTTTATTTTTTTGACAATTTACCTGTATCTAGCAGACCAAAGAGCAAAATGATATCAAGTTGTTAAAAATTAACTAGCTATATCATTCTCCTTTTTGGCTACCTTTCGTTATCAACTGACAAATAGCTCGTACGTATTTCTCCATCTTGTTTTAATGTCTTTCTCTTCATGAAACATATAGTGCAATAAGCTTGGCCCTTTTGACTTGTAATGGACATTTCAGGTGGCACTTAAGAAAATTGCTGGCTGAAAACTTTGATGTAGTTCCTACTTGTTCTGTAATTTATACATTACACAAGTTGTACGTAAAATTGAATGTTGTCACTGCTGAAACATTTTTTCAGAACAAATTTTTAGTTTCATCTCATTTGGGTACTTGTGTTAATGAACCATACTGGAAAGATCTATAATGTACTATCGGAAACAGCACTTGAAAATTCCGTCTCTAATTGTACATATATTCGTTCATACTGAAGACATCTCAAGAATTCAAGAGTGCTAAACATTCATATTTATGCATTATGGTAAAAGACTGTTCTGCTTTTGCACTTGTCTTATGGAATTTTGGGAAGTTGCGGGACAATTTCATATAACTAAGCTGGAAAGTACTCAAACTGAGTTATAATTTTTCAGTACAAGGTAAAAGAAAATCTAGGAAGACAAATGATGTTTAAAATATGGCATCTATGGTGATATTTTCTGCTTAATGAATCCTGCTTTAAAGCTTGATCTTGTCTTGGATCTGTATCTTTTGAAGTTCACACTGTGCATCATGCATTCATGGCTACAGAATGAAACAACACCAGTTTCCGCAAAAGGTAGATGGTATATTATTGGTTTTAAAACTTCTAATCTTTCTAAACCTGAGATACATAAATATCATCCTTATCTGCACAGCTTGTCTGTTTGTACCAAATGAATGAATGGAAGAAAGTACCATAGTCACTAGAGACTAATCATCAGTGTATCAGAAGTCTAATGCTACATTAAGCAAGCTTGATATTGTTACTGCACCTTTCTTGATATTTTTCTCAATCGTTCTAATGCACTCTAGCTAACAACTTTTCCTGTCATTGTGTAGCTCCTTCGTGGCTTGAAGTATCTCCATTCAGCTAACATTCTCCACCGAGACTTGAAACCTGGGAATCTCCTTGTGAACGCTAACTGTGAGTTAAAGATTTGTGACTTTGGACTGGCTAGGACTAGCAGAGACAATGGGCAGTTTATGACTGAATATGTCGTCACTCGTTGGTATCGTGCACCAGAGCTTCTTCTTTGCTGTGACAATTATGGAACATCCATTGACGTCTGGTCTGTTGGATGTATCTTTGCAGAAATCCTTGGACGGAAGCCTCTCTTCCCAGGAACTGAGTGCCTTAACCAGCTTACACTTATTCTCAATATCCTTGGTAGCCAGCCTGAAGCTGATCTTCATTTCATTGATAACCAAAGGGCTAAAAGATTCATCAGATCACTACCTTTTTCGCGAGGAACTCACTTTTCTTCTCTCTTCCCTCAGGCTGATCCTTTAGCAATAGATTTATTGCAGCGAATGCTGGTTTTTGATCCCTCTAAGAGAATAACAGTTACAGAAGCTCTCTACCACCCTTACCTATCAAGTCTTTATGATCCAACGTGCAACCTTCCCGCTCAATTTCCTCTTAATCTGGATATCGATGAGAATATGGCAGAACCATTGATTCGGGAGATGATGCTGAGAGAAATCCTTCATTACCATCCTGAAGCAGCTTACATCAACACATTTTACTAGTAGAATGGTAAGTACAACTTTTTTGATTCTGTATTATGAAAAACATACACAGTTAAGTCGTTTTGCGCACTTGGAGTCATTTGGAGCAGCAAGATCATCAATCTGAGGATCACTTTAGGTAATAATTTGGAGACTTCATTTCATCATCTTTACTTTTAAGATTATTACTCCATCATGTGATGATGGAAAATGTTTTTTGGTGTGTGTTGATCTGAGGACTAAATCAGGCAACCTATTTATCCTGTTCATCTGGACCCTTGGACTAGACTTCTTCTTGTAAGCTGTACATAATTTATGGGCTAAGCTTCCCATTTTATTTCCAGCTTGAGTGTAATTGGCCTTATTGATCCAGTGATCCTTCCCCTGTCCTTTTATTGGTACTATGCAATGGTCTAGTAACTACCTTTGGCTCCAATGCATTCTCCATTATTACTGTCATTATAACATTGGGTAAGAGAGAATTTGCACTATCATGTTATCTAAAAGATAACTACAAATATCTGGTGGTAAAAGTTGGGATTAGTAACAGGAAAAGTAACCTCATTACCTACTACAACTGTTTAACATACACTAAACATTGTAAAAAATCTTTATACTGTTCGAGTATATTAGTAGTTAAATCCTTCAAACAGATTTTACGGTGACTCTTCTTGGATGCTCATTAACGTACAGAATTACTAAAGCAAGCTGATTTGAATATATGCTTTATTTTGGAAGTTACAGGTCTATGTATTACGAAATCTAAAGAGTAGTTAATGCCTCAAATGAATGCTACTATTATGTTCTTACCTTAGCATTTGTTTCGATCTCCATTAATATACTTACAATGGAAAGACTTATTTTTCCCTTTTGTTGACAAATGGCCAAAGAATACAAGTTTTCTCAACCATAATAAGAAATCTGGGCCGACAACATAGCCAGAGCAGTTAGCCTGTCTGGGCCATGCAAGAATTGGACAAATTGGAAATTCTACTACAATGCTTGCTTATGGCCCATTTGAAGTGGAATTGTTTTTTTTTTTTTTTTCGGTGACTTGAAGGAGATCAATAGTCTGCACAAATTTCAAGAGTGAGCAGGAATAATGTGACAGTTATTTGTAATTAAAACCCATAAATATGATAATGACAATAACAACCACAACATCAAAGTTAGAAAGCAAATAAGGTTTATACTTTATAATAGGAAACAATCCTACATTTACGAGGAAAAATAATAGCCGAAAAATATATAAAATTTGTATATTTTTTCTATATATATATATATATATTTTGTATGTTATATACAAAAATTATACAAATTTTATACACTTTTTCGGCTACTAGATGTAAATAGTTTCTGGCGCGGGCTAAAAGTGATAATACCTCCATTTACGATCCCTTAGTAGGCTGGTCTTGTGGGCCCAAGTAATGCTCGAACCCCGTCCTTCTAAAGCCCAGCCCTCCTCCCCTTATCGGTCCCGGAATGATCCGGTCCAATTCACAGCTAACCCGGCCCACTAGTTTCTTCGTATCACTTCAATCAATGCATAATTTTTTAAACTGCATTTAATATTCAAAGAAGTAGTGAAGCATTAGTCTTATCTTGTTTATTGTCGTCTACTATGATTTAACATATGGTTTCTCATATTAATATGGAAAACAATTTATTACACACCGAATAAAAGGAAGATAAGTATTTCTAATCCAAACAATCATCACTTTATTTACGTATAGTGGAAATAATTAAGAACTTAAAGTTGTTGGCTAGGCAACGTCACAAAAAGGAACTCAAGTTCAGATACAAGACAGAGAACTCTTTGTCCATCAATTACTAAAAATAATAATGTTATCTTTATGATGAACGAAAAAAACATTTATTTAGTGAGTAAAGATAGGATTATATTAATTAATTAGAAAATCGAGCACCTTGATTGACGAATATGCTTATTGTGGTAGTTTAGTTGTGGAGACTGACACAAAAAGACATGTATACAAAGGTAGAAAAGAATGAAAACAAAAACGATTGGTCATCACCAAAGCTTTAATTTGGTTTATGGTGGTGCACTAGGTAAACCCTTTCCTCCACTTAAGTTTCTATGCTAATGAGAGCAGTTTCAGTCTCTAGTCAGATGAATTTTTTTTTTATCCCAAGGTCATAACATTGGCAAATTTGTTTTTATTACTTCTTCTGTCATTAATAAACATGTCATAAAATTTCTGTAAAATATGTCATCAAAGGTTAAACAAAATTTTTTAATACTTTATTACTCTAGATTGAACTTCTAAAAGTCATCCAGCTAAATTGTAAGATTCTTACCTTTTTGTTAAAAAATTTATGGAGTAGTACATAAAAAAGGAGATTTGAATCTGAGTACGATCTCTACTTCCGCGATTAGCTTACACCGACTTAAACAGAAAATAGCACCAAGGTTGTGTCATAATTTAAATTTTATGAGGTAACCGCGTAAATACTTCTAAAAAATTAAATTAAAGCAGATTCTAGCCCGATGAAGCCAACCTACTAAAAGGAGCGTGTATATATTCACTTGCCTATGCAGGAAATTACGTACACTCCATAAATCCAACTTGCTTAGAAGATTGAACTTGTTAACACTAAACTTGAGAGACTATTTGTCCAAACTTTTCAAAATAGCATTTTAAAAGAGTACTTTTTGTGAGATACATTTATTGTTTGACTAATTCGTTTAAGTAGAATATGATAACCAGTAGATTGCATTTAATCAATCTTTCCAACAATAGAAAAACTATTTATGTTGCTGCTCAAATTACTTTTCGTCATTTGTAACACCATTTCTCCAAAATAATTTTTTTTTTTTTGAAAAAACAGAATCATTTTCAGAAGTTTGACCAAACGGGCTCATTTCTTTTCTAAAAGTTCGCTCATGAATCTTTCCCCACACCCTGAATATCTAAAGCGTTAACGACACACGATATAAATCAAAAAATTGGATGAGTTTACAACTAATCTGATATATTTTTTTAAAAAAAAATACACTTTGAATCCAATTCAACCTCAACAACGAGCTCATGGTGCGAAATTACCTAAAGATTATTTCAAGAGACTAACCGCTCATTGTCTCACTTAATGTGCAATACACTTACCATCTCGATCGAATATAAAAATAAGACGTGTTATTAGTTGTACTCATGGTCTCTGAACAGTATTAGTAGTTAGTACTAATTAAACACTAGAAAATTCTAATTAAACGGCCATGCTAGACCGTGAATGAAGAAGTCGGTGTGTGTTTTAGACGCAGATGCGACCTGAATCTTGACATAAAATACCTCTTCGCCATTCTTAAAGGGTCTGATATTATCGTACGGAATATTGTTAATTTGTCCGATGTCGGTGACCTAACTTTTTTTTAATGTATTGCTCTATGTTCGGACTTGATCTGTTCTAAATTCACCACCATGTCAATTTGCTAGTTGTCGGCATTTTCTATTGAAACTAAGATTTTCTTCTTCTCTATTTGAAGCAAAAGGAAAAAGAGAGAAGAAAAGATTTATCAACGTCGTTTGTTTTGTGTGATCATGCTGACGAAATTGATCACAACCAAGCCTCAAAAATACAAGAAGAGATTAAAGGGATCTCCTGAGCAAATTAACATATCCTAAAACCCGCCTAAACTATCATATTTTTGTCGGTTCACTATCTAAAGTTCTAACCTATCGTTTGTCCCAAAAAATCTTCTGAACTATATCCTCCTTTATATTAAAACCTCTTCACTACTTATGTGGCGTATTGTGTGTAACAACTCGTGAAAGAGCACGTGAAGACTAGAAAAATTCATCAAAATGGCTCACACGATAGTGTCTAACTGCTAATTAGCCCTTATTTTTTCTAAAATTTTGTATTCTTTATTTTTTTCTCATTTTTTTTTATTTCACTTTTCTTCTTCATTCATTCACCTTTCTTCTCCATTTTTTCACCTTTCTCCTCCGTTTCTTTATCTGGTTTAATCTGAAATTCTCCCTCTCTTGTTATTGAATTTCTCTTCAAGCTTCTAAAAAATATTTGCAGAAGAACAAGATATATGAAAACAATGAAGTTTTCAGAATGCAAGGGAGATAACCCGCATAAAAATCCTATTATATATTTAAAAAGTACACTCGCCTATTTCCTTCGTGCAACTCTTTCTTCTGTCCTCGGGTAGAAAGGAGTGGATGAAGTTAGTTATTGTAATTTGTATCGGTAGGATGTAGAAGACTTGAAACTGACAGGAAATACCAACAATAAGAGAGATCGAATAGCAAAAAATAGTGGTCTGATTTTATACTAAACAACCCAAATTAAATACTTTGCAGAAAGAAGACAATCACTGTCTTAACGGAAATAACTTAGTATGAAAGTTATTAGGAAAGAATGAAAGTTAGAACGAAGCTTAGTGGAGAAAATTGCTAGTGAGAGAAAGAGAAACCATTATCGGAAGATTGGAGAGAGAAGGAGATTTTATTACTTAATATTTTTTGATGTAGACCTCTTATATGTTTTAATCGGGTGAATAAAATTTACTCATTTAATAGATTGGGATTAATATTTAAAATACGTAATTAAGTTTTTTTTATTAGGCTAATTAATATTCATGTGGAGTGCCACACGACACATTTCTTATAAATTTACGAGAGTGTATCACACACACTATTAAAAATATGACAGGGGTATTTTAATATGAAGGGGGTCAATAGATTCTATGATATATGTCACATAACTTTTGAACAACACATATTTTATGCTCAACCTTTTTTGACGTACTTTCTTTTTGAAATGGTGAGGTAACTTTTGTAGGCTTTTTTTATTTTCTTTAATAAGATTGTAAATTACACACTTTACCGCATGTGTGGTAGAATCTTCCACATAGTAAAACCAAGTGGTTTGTATGTAAAGCGCATTGTCCTATATTTAAAATTTTCCCATACCAACCGTAATAAAATGAAAATTAACCAATAGAAAGCCACTCTTTTCTCAAAGCTTTACGTAATAAGCTTTAGGTCTTTTGGAATTTTATATTTGATAGATAGTCTCATCATTGTACTATTTTATTACCTTCAATGACCATAAACATGTCTATAAAATGGATCTTCATTTCTATCAAAATCCCCTTCCTCCTCTGTTCATCTCTTCCATATATGTTCTTAAAACTCTTGCTCTAATTATCTCTTTCTCTCCTATCTTTCTCCTCATCGCCTAATTCCTTGATTTTCTGCTATTAAAGTCTATTACTCTGTCTTCAGAAAGTTGAAGTATTTTTGTTCGTACTTCATTTTTATTTTGATGCATAGCTGTAGAGCCTTGATTCTTGATGTTTGGGACTCATGTCTCCAGTAATTAGTGAAGTCCTTCTTTCTGGTTTTACCATTAATTCAACCCTTCGTCGTGGAACTCACTTAGTTCAATCATTCTCTGTTGCCTTCCTCTACTGGTTCTACGTGTTCTCATGAATATACCTTCCGTTTTAGTTTCTTCTCGCTAACTTAATATTAAGCTCCAGCAAATATCTATAACCTTGATTCTAATTTAGCTATTATTACTCATATATATACTTATTTATACTTTATTCAGTTATAACGTGTTACAGTCCAATTATTATGGCTTCTTCTCCTAGTGGAACATCTTCAGGGTCGGAGGATATTCAGCAACTAATGGACCAAAGGAAACGCAAAAGAATGATATCAAACAGGGAATCAGCAAGAAGATCAAGAATGAAGAAGCAAAAGCGTTTGAGTGATCTAATTGTTCAAGTGAATCAACTCAAGGATCAGAATAATAAAATTGTAACTAACATAAATATGGTGACTCAAGTTTATTTGAACGTGGAAGCAGAGAACTCTGTTCTTAGAGCACAAATGGCAGAATTAAGCCACAGGCTTCAGTCCCTAAACGAGATCATTAACTGCATAAACTCTGCAGCAACAATAATTGACGACACAGAGGTTAATGGTGAAGATGATTTCTTGAATCCTTGGAATTTGCTACATGTGAATCAGCCAATCATGGCTTCTGCTGATGTTTTCATGTACTGATCTTATATCATTTGTCATTGAAAAATCAATTAGAGAGAAAAAAAAAAAAAGATATTGTTGTTGCTTGGCTCTTGGCTTGGCTCTAGATGGAGGCGTTTGGTTAGGTTCACTAATAAATAATTGGATTTTAAAGAAAAGAGAAGTACTTTTAAATGAGGGTTGATAAAATAGTTGTTGACACCTCTTGGTTTGTGAATGGGTTGTTGCTACTAAATTAGTATTAAGTTGCTTGTCACTTTTGTCATTTTATTAAAGATAAATCCATCAGTGTCTTGTGTGTAACACACTGCTATTCTATTTGTTTACATAGTTTATTGGGCAAATACATATACAACTCATTCAACTTGACTCTACTTTTAATATTTTGGCACATTATCTAAACTTTGATCCATTTTGGTCTTCCAACTCTATTTCTTATGTTTCATTTTAACACAAAAGCTAAAATCAGTGTAAAAAAATATAGCGCGTATCTATACACAAATCTGAAGTGTAATAAATATCCAATTAAATATTGCTCATCTTGTCAAACGGGTCAATACTAAACTACCCGACCCAGATTTCTTGGTGTTCATGATACTTTCAATTCAACTTGAAATCCACAAGAACAAATATCCATTCCATTATGAAAAAATAATTTTCTTTGAGACATGGATTCACTTCAAACTTCAATCTTATATGAAATAAAGGATAAAAAAATTAGGTGGCAACATTTAATTGAATATTTATTATACATCAGATTTGTGTATACATATGCGCTATATTTTTTTGCACTGGTTTCAGCTTTTGTGTTAAAATGAAACACAATAGATAGAGTTGGAGGGCCAAAATAGAACAAGATTGAGATATAGTGTCAAAATGAAAAACGGAGTCAAGTTGAATGGGTTGTATATGTATTTGGCCTAGTTTATTTCTCATTTTATTTTTTTATTAATTTAATTTGGTAGGAAAGAAGGGGAGCTTTGACGTAACTGGTAAAGTTGCCACGTGACCAGGAGGTCACGGGTTCGAGCCGTAAAAATATGGAAATGCAGAGTAATGCTGCGTACAATATACCCTTGTGGTCCGATCCTTCCCCGGATCACGCGTGTCACGCCCCGAACCTGGGAACGAGACCGGCACCCGGTGCCTCACCTAACCTAGCGTACCAAATTGCGACTAAGGGACTCTGAACATATAATGTCATAATTTGGCCATGGGACCACCTTGCAAGACAATTTGTGAAGCAAAATATAAAACTGAATGGAAACTAGCGCTGACTAAACATCAATTTAAAGTTGGGCCGACAAGGCCGTCATAACTACTACAACTAACAAACCACCAAAATATACATACCAGGCCTACAAGCCCAATATAGTGCACTAACCAACAAGATATGTCTATAAGCCTCTATTGATGGATATATTGTGATCGGAACAAGGGTCCGACCTACCCATAACATATATACATACATACAGAAGATGTACACGAAAACCTAGACCTGATAACTCCGAAGGACGTGGAGCTTACCAATCAAGCTGAACTTTGGAAACACTTACTGAGGAGGTCTACCCGTCTGTCTATCTGAACCTGCACGCATGAAATGCAGCGTCCCCAAAAAAGGGACGCCAGTACAAAATAATGTACCGAGTATATAAGGCAATAACATAACTGAAAGTTGAAANGTCTGTCTGTCTGAACCTGCACGCATGAAATGCAGCGCCCCCAAAAAAGGGACGTCAGTACGAAATAATGTACCGAGTATGTAAGGCAATAACATAACTGAAAGTTGAAACTGAACTGATAATATAATAACTGAAAGTAACTGGGAGTCAAAGATGATCTGGAGATATATACTTACTTGCTGATACTGACTCAACTCCTTCAATATAGTAAGTAAAATAATTGTTCGGCCTTATAAGGCTCGGTATATATAACTGCTCTACCGTAATAGGCTTGCTCATAGGCGCTCGGCCATACTAGGCTATGTTTCTCGGCCATGCTAGGCTCGCTCATAGGCGCACGACCATAGTAGGCTCGGTATATAACTTACCATCTGATCAGAGGTTGCCCAATAGGGGCCTGCCCATCGATTATAGCTCGATGGTAATAAAAATACTGTAATACTGTATATATAGGCTCTCTGCTCTCTTGACTGAAAGAAGACAATACTCAATTGAATATGAAGTTCCGATAAGAAGAATACTGTAATTTATGAGACTAGGATAATGTATATAAATTCGGGAGTATGAACTTCTCTTTATGCCTCGTTATTAAACATATATAATTACGAGATCATGCCAGCATGAAGGAAGGGCTTAGCCTTAACATACCTTATCACAATCTTTCCAATCACCAAGTTGAATTCGCCTCTTCTCACCTTAATCTACAACAATGATAATAATACTATCATTAAGTTACAAAAGGTACAACTATCGTACAACGAACGACAAGCTTATTTTGTATTAAAACGGACAATATCTCCTTTATAATCCTTACTTCCTCCAAATTCAAGATAACACCAACAATACCAAAAATAACAATAACAACATATATACATTAGTTTCCAACCTTATGTACACCACACAATACTACAAAACAGCCCAACACGCCCCAATCTCTTCATATACAAAACGATCATCGTAGTAATGTCAAAAACCCGAAAATATTACGACGAACGACCAGCCCAACATCCTGTATTTATGTGATGTTTCTCCACACCATTCCTCCTCCAAAACTCCACAAAATAATAGTAAATCACGCAGCCCAACAACAATACTAAATAATCCACAAAACAATCCACAAAGCAGTCCGCTACAAGTGAATAACTCAAACTCGCGGCTTCCGATCACCGTCCCGTGAGTTCTTATAAATATAGGACAACTTACTATGCATCTACAGCAGAAAAGAATGGATGAAAGAGAGCAGTAAACTTAAAAGAATGGATGAAAGAGAGCAGTAAACTTACCTTATTTGTTGGATAACTCAGCTCATATCTTGGTCCTTCAAACTCTAAGCTTTACCTCCAATTAGAACTTGAAAGGAAGAGAAAATCAATTGGGGTTTGTGGGAAATTTTTGGGAGGATTTTTGCAGAGATTAAGTCTGGTTATTTTGCCCTATTATCAGCCTAATATATGAAGGGGATAGGAATTTAAAAAGGCCTCTTTGAACAACCCGAACTGGCCCATTTTTGGACGACCTGAACTGGCCCAGTTTTGGATTCTTGTTTAAGCAACAGTCTGCGCAGTCTCGCAAAAATGCCCATATCTCTCTACTCCGATATCATATTGACAAACAGTTTAATGCGTTGGAAAGTAGATTCATAGATATGTAATTTGATAGGTGGAACACCCCATAACTCTAAGTATATTGGGAGAAAATTGCAGTTACATTTAACCCAAAGTTTCAGTAAAACTTATGAACGTAACTTGTGATGACTTTCATCGACTTTTGTTCCACCACTCACTTGACTTCAAAACATAACACACGACTATCATACTAATTACATAACTCATAACATATCCTACTTATCATGTTAAATACCCCGGTCTCACCCCAAAAGTACATGCTATAACATTCCCAACTTGTCGACTTTCGACGAAACATTATTTTCTTCAATTCCTTTAGCTTCTGAACCTTCCAACCCTCTTTGTACTTGTTGTTCATGATCTTTGATATTTGTAACTTCCAAGGTAACGTGATTACCTTGATTTATATATTTTCAAAGATGATCTCATTTTTGGGTCCTACATTAGTTTGCTCACGGCGCAGTTTTACGTACGAAAATATAGGGCGTAACATCATTCCCCCCTTGGGAACATTCGTCCTCGAATGTTTACTTTTAGAGACTTTGGAAAAATTTTGCCAGAGTTTCCTCCATACACTAGACTATAACCAACCTGCATGCAGCCAGAAAACATACTATGCATGCCACACGTGGCCAATGTCTATAAATAACAACACTTTGCCTTACACAGTCGTAAATCATAAATACTGAAAGTCAGGAAATAAGAGCTTACCTGATAACCTACTAGCCTAAATAGAGTTGTGATGTAGCATCCCATCTCGAGCCATATCTTCAGTTTGAAATAGGTGGGGGTATTTATATTTCATTTCTTCCTCCTCTTCCCATGTTTTCTCTTCCCCATTCTTGCTTCTCCATAAAACCTTCACGGAGGCTACCTCCTTATTTCGTAGCTTGCGGATTTGTCTGTCTAGGATGGCAACTGGAATTTCCTCGTATGACAAGTCCTGCGTAATATGTACATCATCCGTGGGCACCACTATGGTAGGATCACCAATGCACTTCCGTAGCATAGATACGTGAAAAATCGGATGGACTGACTCCGGTTCTGAGGGTAATTCAAACTTATAAGCTACTTGGCCCACTCTTCGAATGATCCTATAAGGCCCAATATACCGTGGGCTAAGCTTGCCTTTCTTGCTAAACCTCATCATGCCCTTCATCGGGATACCTTTAAGAATACCCAGTCATTAACCTCGAACTCTAAGTCTCGTCGCCGCACGTCAGAATATGACTTCTGAAGACTCTGAGCTGTTAATAGTCGTTCCCGGATAAGCTTTACTTTCTCTACGACCTGCTTAACTAGGTCTGGCCCATGTAACCCAGATTCTCCAACATCAAACCACCCTATCAGAGATCTACACTTACGCCCATACAAAGCCTCATGCTGAGCCATCTGGATACTGGAAAGGTAACTGTTATTATATGCAAACTCGACAAGAGGTATGTGTTCATCCCAACTTCTTTTAAAGTCCAACACACATGCTCGTAACATATCCTCGAGCGTCTGAATTGTGTGCTCGGCTTGCCCATTAGTCTGTGGATGAAATACTGTGCTGAGATTCACCTGAGTCCCTAGACCTCTCTGAAATAACCTCCAAAAATATGATGTGAACTGGACCCCACGGTTAGATATAATAGATACCGGTACTCTGTGTAGCCGCACTATATCCTTAATATATAACTTTGCATAATCTTCTGTTGTATATGTAGATCTGACCGGTAGGAAATGAGCCGATTTTGTGAGCCTATCGACTATCACCCATAAAGAATCAAACTTACAATGAGAACGAGGTAAACCCGTGACAAAGTCTATGTTTACTGCCTCCCATTTCCACGTCGGGATATCTATAGTCTGCATTAGCCCTCCGGGCTTCTGATGCTCTGCCTTCACCTGCTGGCAACTAGGACACTGGGTGATAAACTCATCAATGTTCTTCTTCATATCGTTCCACCAAATACATCCTTAATGTCATGATACATCTTCGTCGACCCAGGATGAATGGAGTACCACGAATAATAT